TATATATATATATATATATATATATATATAGATGTTTTAAACCCCACACTCTAAAAATGATCTAACCTCTCTTTAAGAGCACAGAATGTCATGATTTCAGTTCCCTGCCACCAGCTGCTCTCTGCCATCTGTCAGTGCTCTTGGCCACGCCCACTTTGCAGCTGCAGAGTGGAGATATGACAAGCTGCAGGAGGGAACTTTTCCTACAGCTGTAGGCTGCACAAAGGTGCAGCAGGTGCTAAACAATGTTAAATAATTTTTTTAAAAATAAAAATTAAATGCTGATCGTGCGGCTCATCCATCAATCAGCCAATTGTGTCATGTCCAATCTTATTTTTAAAAACAGCGATAGAGCGAGTCCGTGAAAAATGAATCATGAAGTAGTGAGGGACTTCTGTACTATTAAACATGCTGCTCCACCTACTTTGCTCCTTTTTAGTTTTCACAACTTTAAAGTAGCATTTCTGGTTGATTGCTTCCATCATTGACAAATGATTAAAACTACATCCAACTCATTCTATAACCTTTCATTTTAAGCTGTCTTCAAGCCCAAGCTTCCCTTGCAAAAAAGATCTGTCATCTAAATGGGATTTGCCTGGTTGAATAAAGGTTAATAAATAAATGAATGATATATAAAAAATGAAGTAAATTAAATAAATTTTAGAACAATTTACAGTCAGAAAATCAACAACAACAATCAACTGGTTTAAGATTTTACATCCATCTGTCATCAGTACAAAGACATTTAAAAGAACTGCATTAAAACAAGAAGATTTGGACATAAAATCTCTGTTTACTGTTGCTCATCAGTGATGTTCTGTAAGAAGACATTTCTCTGCACATCGGATCAGAAATTTGGCAGATGAGAAGTTTATAAATATAATAAAACTATGGGCTTGTTAGTTTTACATTAATATCATTACCAAACATAAAAGCAATTTCCTGTTTTGGTTGACTTTTTAAGTGTGATGTTTTAGTGAAAATGCACAGTTAACTTATTCTACTGTGAACATGAAAGAGCAGACCTCCACAGCTGTTTGACAGTGTCAGATCATATGTTAATGCATTTCTGTTTGGTGGGTGTGAAGTGTCATTGTGTAAATCAAAGCGTCTGAAACAGCACTGTAACAATCCTCTGGAATTTGTTCTTTCTACCCAACTCTGCCAATAGACCGAGTTTAATGGAAACTCCTGCTTGATGTTGAAAAACCGTTCCGGGGGGCGTCAATGGTCTAAACCTTTGATTCCTGAAATGTGTTTCAACACCCAATCCAGCAAGACTAATGATGCAGGGGAGGGTCAGCTGTCTAATCCTCATGTAGCAGAAGATGGGACGAGCCGGCTGATCAGCTGTGCTCAGTGCTGCGTTCGAGTGCATACAAGTAAGCCCTCCTTTGTTTTCAGATAACTGAAAATATGTAAGGGTGGGGATAACAATGGGATTTCCAAATACCATTTCTTTTCCACACAGTCCTTTCAATTGTTAAAATGGTTTTGATAGTTCCTAGTAGGGGTGCACCGATTGCAGTTTTTTGACCGATCACGATCACCGAGTTCTAAAAAAAAGTCTGACCTGCTGATTCCGATTTTGTTTTATAAGCGACACTGTCAGGTGTTATAAGGTCACAATGCACCTTCAATTTTTCAATATTATTTTATTCAAAAACATACCATTGAACAATATCCTAGAAACAATACAAACTTGTTTTAACTGACCATGAGGCAGTGCTCTGAAATGTAAATGAAGTTCAGACAATTGTTGTTAAAACTAAAAATATCTGTAAAATCGGTTTCTCATGCAAGTATCAGCCTATTTCCGATTGCCCAAAATTAAGGAAATCGGGGCCAATAAATCGGTGTACCCCTAGTTCCTAGTTAAAGTTAAATACTTGAACTTCTGTAACAACTAATTTTAAAAGTTTCATTTACAATTTTTACATAATTGTAATGTTTAGCGGTATGATAGAACGTGTATTCTGCAAAGTTTTAGGAAATAACCTGTTTTATGGAAAATATATTTTTGTTATTGTTCTGTTTAGTAAATATATTTATATTTCACAATAAATAAGCCTAAAATCTATTTATCTGTCAATCTGAGGGCCCACAATCTATTTTCTTAGATTTAAATACAGAGTGTCGTACTGTTAATGTTTCAGATTAAAACAACACAACATGGGCAGTTGTGGCTGAGTAGTTAGTGCAGTCGTCCTCCAATGGGAGAGTTGGGGGTTCAATTCCACCCACAGTCACATGCTGAAGTGTCCCTGGGCAAGACACATTGCCTCCAATGTGTACCCCATCGGTGTATGAATGTAATTTAAAGCACTGATTAGTCTACAGATTCAGATAAGCTTTGTTGAGCTCTGGTACAGTGTTTTCAAAACAAAAACTTTTAATGTGTCCTGTCTAAAAGGGTTGCGTTGGAGCTTGTGTTTCTAATTCAACTCTCTTCAGTAGCTGTAACTTGACATTTAGCTTTGGTATTGTTAATGTTAAAAGGTAAATCCTGGTTGACTACAGATAACTGTCAGCCCAACAATACAAGCTTTAAAATGACAGTACCAACTTTGTGACTTGTTTTTTTTTCTTATCTATTTTTAGGCTGCTATGGTGTGTCTGGAGACGAAGCAGAGCTAGACGACTGGCTGTGTGCTCGCTGTGAGGCCAGTGCCATCACTGAGGTTAGTTCAAGTTCAAGTAGGTTTATTGGCATTGTTCATTGTCATGTGGTACATGAGGTGGAATTAAATCATGTACACAGGGTCCCAGATGCATCCAAAAATAGTAAAAATATAAAGTGTAAAAAGAGATGGTAAAAAAGTATCTAAGATATACACTAAGATGTACGCTAAACGAACGCCAAACGGTACGCTAAAAGATCTAAAATATACGCTAAACACTAAAAGTGCAGAACAACAACAGCAGCACAAACATGAGTCTGTGTGAGCAGGTGGGTACAAATGTATACAACAGCATGAAATAATGAGCAGCATGAGATCAGCAGCATGAATAATCAGCTGCACATATCACTTATCAAAGTTCACTGAGCTGCGACTCTTTACCCAATCACAAGGCCTGGCAATGTGGACAGAACATTGTTTTGTAGTTATTGACATTGTGCTAATTCAGGATACTTCTCAGTTTTTTCTACAAAATTAAAAAGCCAATAAAAACACTGATTTCCTCTGTAAAAATAAATAAAATACCTTTTTATTGTTTTAAACAGCAGTCACAATTATGTAGCTGTAGATTTCAAACTTTTTAGGGTGTACCCTGAATGCATCAAGTCTCTCTTTCAGGTATGATATAGTACAGTGGCAGATGGTGGAGATATTGGGTAGGTGGGCTATAACATAAAATTCTAATGATAACATTTTAATAACAAAAGTGCCTTATCTGGGATTTAAGAAAAAAACAAACAAAAACATAATGTCCTTTTTTTACCAAACTGACATCCTCAAAAAGAGTGGTTCAACAATCCTTGCATGCAGTCAAAAAGTGTTCAACGCATGTCTCAAACCGTAATAAATGTTCACTAATTAGCACGACTGATGTGCAACACGTTGCACCAAACTTCTTGGCACAATACAATTGAAACAGGTAAATATTTGTAGTCACAACAGACAATACTGGGAAAACTCAACAAAACGTAATTGAAACGTGCATATCTCATTTAAATAGAAGCTCACACTAATGAATTTTCTGAGACAAATACATGTATGTACATGCATGGTGACACAGTTGGAAGAGCTGCTGCCTCTCAGCAAGCAGGCTGACTCGGTTCAAGTCCCGGCTGGGGGCCTTTCTAGGTGGAGTTTGCATGTTGTCTCCATGCATGCATGGGTTTTCTCTGGGTACTCCGGTTTCTCCCACAGACCAAAACGTATGTTAGGCTGATTGGTAACTCTAAATTGTCTCTAGGTGTGAGTGAGAGAGTGAATGATTGTTTGTCTCATTTGTCTCTGTGTCCTTGTGATGGACTGGAGACCTGTCCAGGGTGTCCCCTACCTCTCGCAAAGTGATGGCTGCCGCTGGACATGGGCACCTGTGACCCCCTTGACCCAAAAAGGAAGAAGCAGGTAAAGATAATAAATGGATGGATGGAGACAAATATATATAAATAACATACCGTTTCAGAGAAGTTAAGTGATTTCTGGAAAAAGTCCTGCTCAGTAAGGAACTGAACCACTGATGGGTTGTAGATGGCTAGAATACTGTTCACATTCAAGACCCTTTAAAGCTACATTTAAGAGTCAAATCCACAAACCCCACATTGCTACTGAACGTCTCTATCAGTTTACCTTTCAGTTCTTCTCTGTGGGTCAGTGGATGAGTAAATTGCCAACACTGTTGGCTCTTCTTCCTCTTCTGTTACTGATCAGTAGTTGATTCACAGATGCAACAGGTTCAGGCACGAGACACTAGTATCTTAGTATCTTGGGGAGTGGTGGCGCAGAGGTTAGAGAGGTGGGCTTGTGATCCGAAGATCGCCGGTTCACGCCCCGGCCCCGACAACATCAAAAATTGTGGGTGGGGTAGGTGAAACACCCACACTTGCCCCCACCCTCATTCGCCCCACTCTGGGCCCATGAGCAAGGCCCTTAACCCCCACCATGTGCTCCCTAAACAGGTCTCTCTTGAAAATGAGTTCTCGTGGCTCAATGAGACTAACCTGGATAAATAAAGGCTAAATGAAAAAAAAAAATCTATCTCCCTAGTGACACTTTCCAGCTCTTCTTTGGGGATCCCGAGGCGTTCCCAGGCCAGAGAGAATATATAATCCCTCCAGTGAGGGGTCTGCCCTGGAATCTTTTCCAAGTGGAACATGCCATGGATACTTCCAAAGAGAGGCATCCTAATCAGATACGAACCACCTCAATTGACTCCTTTTGATGCAAAGGAGCAGCAGCTCTAGTCCGAGCTCCCCCTGGAGCTTATTTCTAAGGTTGAGCATGGCCACCCTACAAAGAAAGCTTGTTTCAGGTTCTTGTATCCAGGATTTCACTCTTTAGGTCTTGAGATATGATCCATTCCTCAAGACAAGGTACGGATCATATATGATCATCTTAACATCATATATCATATACAGGTGCTGGTCATAAAAGAATAAAATGAAAAAGTTGATTTATTTCAGTAATTCCATTCAAAAAGCGAAACTTGTATATTATATTCATTCATTACACAAAGACTGATATATTTCAATTTTTTTTTCTTTTAATGTTGATGATTATAACTGACAACTAATGAAAACCCCAAATTCGATATCTCAGAAAATTAGAATATTACTTAAGACCAATTAAAAAAAAGGATTTTTAGAAATGTTGACCAACTGAAAAGTATGAACATGAAAAGTATGAACATGAAAAGTATGAACATGTACAGCACTCGGCACTTAGTTGTGGCTCCTTTTGCCTGGATTACTGCAGCAATGCGGCGTGACATGGAGTCCATCAGTCTGTGGGACTGCTCAGGTGTCATGAGAACCCAGGTTGATCTGATAGTGGCCTTCAGCTCTTCTGAATTGTTGGATCTGGTGTATCACATCTTCCTCTTTATGATACCCAATAAATTTTCTATGGGGTTAAGGTCAAGTGAGTTTGCTGGCCAATTAAGAACATGGTCCTTAAACCAGGTACTGGTAGCTTTGGCACTGTGTGCAGGTGCTAAGTCCTGTTAGAAAATGAAATCTGCATCTCCATAAAGTTGGTCAGCAGCAGGAAGCATGAAATGCTCTAAAACTTCCTGGTAGGCAGCTGTGTTGACCTTGGACTTCAGAAAACACAGAGGACCAACACCAGCAGATGATATGGCCCCCCCAAACCATCACTGACTGTGGAAACTTGACACTGGACCTCAAGCAAAGTGGATTCTGTGCCTCGCCTCTCTTCCTCCAGACTCTGGGACCTTGATTTCCAAAGTCCTTTTTGTCTTTAGCCCAGGCGAGATGATTCTGATGCTGTCTCTTTGACACAAGGAGTATAACATATAAAATGTGTTAATAATAACAGTTTAACAATAATAAACCGTGTTTCTGTTAGTGGTGGGAGATGTAATGAAGCTATGTGAGCTAAATGGAACTATCTGGACATTATGTAATTCAAGTTATGTGATTTAAACCATGATGTGAAACACATTGCATGTTATTTAAGTTGAAAATGAAGACATCAGGTTTAATTTTTATTTATTTATTCAACACCAAAAACTGTATGTCACACAAACACTGATAATTAAACTGAACACTTTTAAAAACACATTAACCAAACTGTAATCTACATTAATGAACTGTACCCTTCCTCTCTGTCGTCATCCTGGGTGCTGGCGCCATGTTGTTGCTGGCTTGTACAGGCTATCACTCCTTTGATTAATGTAGCTTAAAACATTGAATGGGTTAGAAAAAAGAACTGAGGAGAATTTTAAGTGAATAGTTGCTCCAACATCACTCTCTCTATGACATCCTTCTGCACCGCCGAACTTTTGGCCGAGCTGTGTGCTCGTTCAGAACCGCTCCGCCTCTGGTGTGAGAACGGCTTCTCCTTGCAAGAAAAATAAAAACAAAAACTTGGTTGTTCTGCAACCGAAGTAAACACAAGCAAAGTTCAAGAACGTTGATTTACCTGCTGTAACATTGCTCGAGGACTACTGGTTACCACCAGAGTAGAAAGCCCGACATCATTCTCGTCAGTGCTGGTTCGCTCAGTGACCGGCTGTGTCGAGCTGTTAGACGAAGCGGTCCGGCTTGATGTCAAATTTGTTGACGCGTATCCAAAATCCATCTTTAAGTTTTGTTGTTATTGGGCTTTCAGCACAGAGGGAGTACCTTACAGACAGCCGTCTCAGGCAGAGTGCATGCGCATTAGGTGAATGTACAAAATTCACAGCGCCAACTAAATGACCTGGCATAGCAACTACAGCGAATTCGGGGTGAGTTCCTGGTTTTAGGTAAACACCAAATGCGCTCCGTGTCAACGCGGATTGTTTTCCTCAGATCAACATCTGAAAAAACCTACCCCCCGCCCCCCCAACCTTGTCTGTGTAAATGGGCCCTTAGTATGCTGTCCTCCATCCTGTGCAGGAGGAAGATAGCGATCACTGACTGTAGGCTACTGTATTTTTTCTAAACCAGCCATATTATAGGCATTGTTAAGAAAAAAAAACATTTACTATATGTATTTGTGTATGTTACCAGTACTTATTTAATTAAAAATTACAAAAAAATGTGTATAAATATTCATCCATCCATCCATCCATTTTCTTTACCCGCTTATTCCATTTTGGGTCACGGGGGTCGCTGGTGCCCATGTCCAGCAATCACTGTGCGAGGGGCGGGGTACACCCTGTACGGGTCGCAAGTCCATCACAGGGACACATAGAGACAAATGAGACAAACAACCATTCACTCTCTCATTCACACCTAGGGACAATTTAGAGTTACCAATCAGTCTAACATGCATGTTTTTGGTCTGTGAGAGGAAACCGGAGTACCCGGAGAAAACCCACACATGCACGGAGAGAACATGCAAACTCCACCCAGAAAGGCCCCTGGACCGGGGTTTAAACCAAGGACCTGCTCGCTGAGAGGCAGCAGCTCTACCAGTTGCGCCACCGTGCTGCGTGTATAAATATCTCGTGTTACAACGTGAACCTCCGCGGCTTATCTACAAGTGCGGCCTATATATGTAAAATTAATGATAAAAAAATGTTTTTAGTGGGCATGGTTTATATTCACGTGCGCTCAGTAGTCTGTAATTTACCGTTTTACTGAATTGTAAGTCCTGCCATAATGGAATACTAGTTTTGTTTAAACCAAGTACAAGTACTTTAGTTTAGGTACTTGCCAATACTGAGTACTTATACAGAGTAATTAATTAGTTCGTACTTAAACGATACACACTTAAAAAACACTTTAAAAAATTTATTAAGAATACATCAAGCAATCTGCTGTCTTAACTTCTTAAAATATCTCCAAACTATAACCTTTATTAAATTTTTGTTGTCGGTTACTTGCAATGCGGAAGGGGAAATGACGTCATAAAGCATAAACGTGGTATCAGCACAAAGTATTAGTGTTTTTATGAGTACAAGTATGAGTAGTTGAGGCTGGTATCGGGCCCACTACCTGCCCTAGCAGTTTGTAAATGTTGTTTGTTACTCAGGAAACTGTTTTGCCTCCAGCACTCCATCAATCAAAGCAACATTCTTCCTGTAAGCAGAGCTGCTCATATTGTGTTTTAAAGAGGAAGTCAGTCAGTTACGAAAATATTGTACACAGCACTGTTTCACACAGAACTGAGCTAGCATAGAACCAGTAAAATATACTGTTTTACATATTTATCTTTGTTTGGCCAGGGCAGTTCAGTGGTAAATGATTCATCTGAGCGACAGAACATCATTCAGTCTGACAACCATAAATGGACGAACACTGGGTCAAGTCTGTCCCTTGAGGCAGCTGCCTGCTGACTGACTTTATACAGTGGGGCAAAAAAGTATTTAGTCAGCCACTGATTGTGCAAGTTCTCCTACTTAGAAAGATCTTGCTTGTGGCCCCAGATCCAGGGAGGTTATCAATGGTCTTGTACGTCTTCCATTTTCTTACAATTGCTCCCACAGTTGATTTATTCACACCAACCTGCTGCCTATTGTAGATTCACTCTTCCCAGCCTGGTGCAGGTCTACAGCTTTCTTCCTGGTGTCTTTTGACAGCTCTTTGGTCTTGGCCATGGTTGAGCTTGGAGTCTGAGTGTTTGAGGCTGTGGACAGGTGTCTTTTATACAGACAACGAGGTCAAACAGGTCCATTAATACAGGTAACAAGTGGAGGACAGAAGATCTTCTTGAAGAAGTTACAGGTCTGAGAGAGCCAGAAATCTTGCTTGTTTATTATTGACCAAATACTTATTTTCCACCATAATTTACAAATAAATTCTTTAAAAATCCTACAATGCGATTTCCTGGATTATTTTTCCTCATTTTGTCTCATCGTTCAAGTGAACCTATGATGAAAATTACAGACCTTTCTCATCTTTTTAAGTAGGAGAACTTGCACAATCAGTGGCTGACTAAATACTTGCCCCACTGTATAAAATACAAGTATGTGTGTTAAACAGTTGCATATTAATCTTGAGTAACATTAGGAATTAAATCATAACGTTCCTTTAAGGAATGCATGTTGTCCGCTGTCTTTCATGCCAAAGTTTTAAGATAAAATCAGTTTATGTTGAGAAATAAGAGTTGTAAATATTTTGATTAAACCTTGAAATTAAATTACCGGTATGCACAATCTCATGCAATGTTGTGATATCTCACAAGATCTTGCACAGTTTGTTAGCACTCGGATTGTGTGTTGTGAATGATTCAGCTACTACCACAGCAAATATTAGAATAGAATAGACCTTTATTGCCATTGCACCTAAATACAGCACAATTTTGGTTTGCTTCCCAGAGCAAAAGAAAATATAATATAAAGCAACCAAACAAAATACCACACACACATATGTGTGTGTGTATATGTGTGTATATATATATATATATATATATATATATATATACACTGTATAAAAGGTAATAATTACAGATTTTAAACACTAAATGTGCAACACAAGCAGACCAGATATGCGAACCTTGAAGACATTTTTCTCCAGCTTCAAATTCTTTTTGAAGCATCACAAAAAGATAATTTTTAAAAAAGTGTGTTTTTCGTTCGTTTGGTCCTGTTGACAGGGTGGGACACCCTCCTTGGATAATGGTAGGGCAAACACTGCTAGAGAAGTACTTCATGTTCTTTGTACTGTTATTATGAAATTCAAATAATTTTACATAAATAAATCATGTGTGTCCAATTTTCGAAGTGTTGACATAATGATGTCATACCATAGACATGTTATTCTAATATACCAAGTCCCTATTGTCTCTTGTTGGGAATTAAAGCCAACAAGAATCAGTTTACTGAAGCTGCCATGTTGTATTTTTTGAAACCACTCTGATTTTATTACGTTCTATTGTTGTTTCTTGTCTGTATGATGAATGTAGAGCGTGTCAAAGGAGAATTTCTGCCACAATTGTGGTAGACAATAAAGTTTTATCTTATTGTAAGGATGTCGGGCTTTAAGCCATTCCTACTTCCCCCACACACAATCAAGGAGTCACATGACTTTTCATTTTAAGGATGAAAAACTAATTTTGGTTAAACTTAGTAAAAATGATTGTCAAATATACAGCAACAAACCAAGAACTGTGTTGACACCTGAAGAAAGTTTTTGTTATTCGGTCATAAACTCACAGTTTATGCATCATGCCTTGGAGTATGTGCTTGACAGAAAATATGAAAGAGTAACATTATCTTTCTGCCTTTAGGACTGCTGTCTGTGTTCACTGAGAGGGGGAGCTTTGCAGAGAACTAATAATGACAAGTAAGTCAAAGACTAAGGAGGGGGTGGGGAACTTCACAATTATTTAAATTCAAATTTTAATGATGGTACAAGTCAAGCTCTTCAGTTTTTCAGAACTGTTGTATGTACCAACTCTTTGTGAAGCAAAGAATTAGCTAAAGGTAGCAGGATTCTAGCTAAAGATTGCAAAAGTCTAGCTAAATAAACAAATAAAGCACATGCACTAAGATGGGTGGATATGACAACTTGTGGTTAGTTTTGTGCTCGTTTTGGGGAAGTGCATCTGAATGTCACTGTGATATTCAGGAACAGAGGAAGTTTCATTTTTTATCTACATTTTGCAAGTTGATTTTGAAAGTTAATGCTGTGGGAGCGAATGCATTGTATCACAGCTTTTATGAGCATTATATGAACAATTAAAAATGTTTTGATATATTATAATTATGACAACAAAAAGTTTTAATCCAAAGATCATCTTTGTCTCCCTTGATAACAGATGGGTTCATGTGCTGTGTGCCGTCACCGTGCTGGAAGCTCGCTTTGTCAACATCACCAAGCGGAGCCCCATTGACCTCTCTGCCATTCCTCTTCCTCGGTTCAGACTGGTAGGAGCGCAGTTTTCCTGTACACCCTCGCAAAAGTATTGGCACAATGACACCATTTCCTTTTACAGTAGACTGAAAACTTTTGGGATTGGCATCGAAAGATGAATATGAGACAAGTGCAACATATCAACTTTTATTTCTAGGTGTTTACATCTGGATTGAATCTAAAGTAAATAATACTAGAGTTGTGGTTTATGACCCGAGCTGAAATTCGGGCCGGGTCGAGCCAAAATTACCGTATTTTTTGCCATATAAGGGTGCATTCACACTAGTCCTGTTTGGTCCGCTTTAATCCAACTCTAGCTCGTTTTCCTTGAAAGTCCGGTTCGTTTAGGGAGGTGTGAACGCGCCATCGAACTCTGTCACGGAACAAAAAGGCAAACTCTGGCCCGGGCTAAAACCTAGGTCTCGGTCCGGTAGAAGCGAACTCCAGCGCGGTTCGAGTACAGTGTGAATGTAAACAGACTGGGCCCCACTCCGCAGGGTAAACAAACACGCATTTCTCTGACCTTATATGAAGCCGTCAGCTGCCTTGTGTGGAAAAACAATATTCTCCATGGTCTTCTGCCTCATCTTCTGCTCATGCTAAGTCCATTTTTGAAAAATTACAAAATATAACTCTTAAAACTGCTTGATGCCACTTCGTTTTTATTTTTATTTACAGAAGAAGAAGACGTGTCTTCAGAGGTTTTTGTGTCGTTTCTTTCAGTAGTTCTTGGTGCAGCGCCCCCACAGGCGAGCGGGGGAATAGGTTGGTTCAACAGGTTGACTCGACTGCACAGTGCAGTGTGAATGCAAACGCACCAGCTCAAATGTAAACAAAAGCTTATGAATATTGGTCCCGAACCGAACCGAGTCTACCGGACTATCTAGTGTGAAAACGACCTAAGTCCGTTTTTTTGCATAATGTACATGCCCTGCGACTTAGATGCCGAATTGACATATTTATGGATTTTTTTCCCAAATTTATAAACAAATTTTTGGCTGAGATATGACCGTTTTCATTCATTCAGACTGGGGGGAAAAAAGAGCAGTGCCATTTTCAACCACTAGATGGCAGCAGAGTAATAATAGGGGTATGGCATGCCGTTGTGTCATGTAATTGGTAAACGTGGCTATAATGACAAATTCGGAAAAGTTCAATACAAAAACAACTGGATTTTATTTATTATACTTTATACTTTGTTGCTTTTTTTTTTTCCTTGAACCTTTTCGAATTTACCATGTCCTGGATGACTGATAATATTTCAACAGCTATTAATGACACAATCAGCTTGCCATAGTACGCCACCTTCGTTCTGCTCGCTGCTTGGAACCATCAAACCAGCTGCACCGCCCCGGCGAAATGCAGCTAATTTGACCACTAAAGTACATTTATTAAGTAAAAGTTCAACTGAGACACACCGTTGCAATAATTTTGAGCAAACAAATAATTGTTTTAGGTGCTTTTCTTGTTAAATTTCTAAGAAACTGACAGCGTTCCTCATTTTTTGTTCCTCCCTCTGTGCTTTCACGGAGCACCGAGGCAGCGAATATGTTTGAAATACAGCCAGTTTGATCGTTAGTGCATTTATTAAGCAAACGTTAGACTGAGACATACCTTTTACTATAATTTCGAGCAAACAAATAATTGTTTTTAAGTGTTAATCTTGTTAAAGTCCTCTTGTGCACGCTCCTGCGGCTGACATTTGGCAGCCCATCAATTTATTTTATTGTATTTTTTTGGCACAACACCGGCCCACATTTCCGGGTTGTCAGCAGTGATGCGTAACAAATGCGACGCGTCAGCAGTGATCCATAATAGATGCAACGTATACGGCGAAGCGACATATTTATGGATTTTTCCACTTTTTTAGACATATTTGGACTGATGCGACTTATATGGCGACGCGACGTGTATGGCGGAAAATACGGTATGTGCTTGATGGGCTCGTACTTCTGTGGTGTGGTTTTACGACTCATGCAGCACAAAGAAAACTAAATGAGAATACACAATAAAAAATTGTGTTAATCTTCTTGTAGAGGAGGAGGCAGTAAATTTGTAACCCTTGTAACTCTTACTCCTCCTTCACTCTTGTCTCTGATACTTTGCTAGAAATGTGCATACTGCAGGAAGCGAATGAAGAGGGAGATGAAGGGCTGTTATGTCCAGTGCTCCCATGGGCGTTGTTCCACAGCGTTTCACCCCACCTGTGCTCAGGCAGCAGGCGTCCTCATGCACCCAGATGACTGGCCGTTCGTAGTCTTCATCACCTGCCACAGACACAGAACGCCCGTCATACCTGAGGTAAACAAGCACGTTACTGGCACGTTATGGTACAAATGAAGTACTGTAATTTCCAGACTATTGAGCACACCCAAATATAAGCCGTGCCCAGTAAAAAATAAATAAATAAATAAATAAATGTACATATATATGCTGTGCTTACACAGACAGATGTTACACAGAATTTTTTTTTTTACTTTTAATTAAATGCATACCAGTAACATAAACAAATGTGTATGGTAAATGTTTTTTTGTTTTTTTTTCTGAACAATGCCTGTAACACAGCTGGTTAAAAAATAATAAATACAGTAGCCTGCCAGGAAACACCAAGCTTACATGCACCAGCTCTTTCCTTCTTCAACAGCCAAATCAATGTCGCCTTTAACTTGAAAGCTGCATCAGATGCATTTCTTTGTGTGTTTTCCATGATGAGGGTCTGTGGATGAAGCGCAAAATAACCGATCTGAAGAATCTAGTGAGAGTACGTTTGATTTATGGTAATTTGTAGCTTCTTTGGTCCACTGTGACCTGTTCGGTATTTTCATTGGTCTGATTTTTTTAACCTTTATTTATACAGATAGTCTTGTTAAGTCACGAGGACCCACCTCCCAAGAGAGACGTACTGGGCAGCTCTGTGAGCACCTGGGTGTGACAAGGCTAAATACCATACCATTTTATTTACAAAGCACTTTAAACAGCGACAGGGCCAACCAAAGTGCTATACAAACAGACGGGCAAAGCACACAGCAACACCTAACATAATGTAAAATCAAAATATAGAAACAAAATAATAGCAGATACATAATGACTAACACAGTGTGATGCATACAGAATCAACACAAATCATACAGTGTTGAAAGCCAGGGAATAGTAGTGGGTTTTTAAGCAGGATTTAAAAACTGTGAGGGAGGGGGCCTGTTTGACAGGTAGAGGTAACTCGTTCCAAAGTCTTGGTCCTGCTACAGAGAAGGCCCTGTCACTTCTGCGCTTAAGACGGGTTCCTGGAACTGTGAGAAGAAACTGGTCCGCTGACCTCTGAGAATGCGGTGGGACATATGGCTGCAGCAGATCAGTGAGATAGGAGGGTGCAGAGCTGTTCAGTGATTTGAAGACATACAAGAGTATTTTGAACTGGATACGAAAGTGAACCGGTAGCCTGTGCAGGGAGGCCAAAACTGGTGTAATGTGCTCTCTTTTGCCTGTACTGGTTAAAAATCGGGCTGCCGCATTTTGGACCAGTTGCAGTCGTGCAATGGAGGTCTGACTGATACCAAACAGGAGCGAGTTGCAGTAATCGAGCCTGGATGTTATGAATGCATGTATTACTGTCTCCAGGTAATTTTTGGACAATATGGGCCTCAGCTGGAAAAAAACAGGATTTAACAATCATGTTTACATGACTGTTAAGTTTCAAGGAAGGGTCCATTATCACTCCCAGATTAGTGACTCTTTGTTTCTCTAACGGAGCTAGAGTGGAAAGGTCAATGCAGTGGTTGATGATTGTGTCGTTGGGAGGAAACAACATGACTTCAGACTTCTTCTCATTGAAACTTTGAAATTTAAAGCCATCCAGTCTCTGATGTCAGCCAGATTGTCAAGCAGAGGTTGAATAAAGCATGTACCATTGTGTCTTAGGGGGAAGTAAATTTGACAGTCATCGGCGTAGAAGAGAAAGCGTATGTTGTGTTTCCGGAAAATAGCACCTAGTGGCAGCACATATAAAGAAAATAGAAGGGGGCCGAGGATGGACCCCTGCGGTATGAGAGTTGGCTATAATTATATCAGAGAAGTATTTAGATTTAGCAATTTTTACTGCTTTCTGATAATGATGCCAACTCTGTTTTAGTATTTGAAAAGAATCCTGCAAACGGTCCTTCTTCCATCTACGCTCCGCCCTCCTGCATTGCTGCCTAACGGTCTTGGTGACATCATTCAGCCAAGGTTCTGATCTGAGTTTCGTTTTTCTGGTTTTTACAGGAGCAACATGATCCAGAGCATTTAAGCAGAGAGAGTTGAACTGGGAGGTTAGCTCATCAGTGGTGGTGGGAAACACTGAGGCTTGATTGAACTTTTCAGAGTTAAAGACATCTGTGAAATGTGTGACAGTGAAGTGGTTAATGACCTGGCTGCGACATGCAGGAGCGCACGGCTTAGGAGTTAGATGGGGGGAGGTGAACTCGAACAGGACTCGCATGTGGTCTGAAAATACATTATCACCGATTTCAAAACTGCTAACAGTCACATCACATGTTAAAACAAGGTCCAGGTTATGTCAGTGCTCCTGGGTGGGACCGTTTACCTGCCGAGTTAGATTAAATGAGTCCAATAATTCTAAAAAGTCTTTAACCAAGCAAGGACTTCTCCTGACAACAAACATTAATATTAAAGTTCCTAATAAGTCAAGTCAAGTCAACTTTATTTATAGAGCACATTTAAAACAGAACCTGTTATCAAAGTGCTTAACAACAACAACAATCAATGAGTAAATTAAAGAGAAAAATATATAAACATATATATACAATACACTAATAATAAAAACTGAAGAATTAATAAAAAGCATTTAAAACATAGGGTCACAGATTAAAAAACACTAGATCAATTTACACTGTATGAAATGCCTGAGAGAACAGATGTGTTTTAAGCAGGGATTTGAAGTGAGGAAGGGAGGTAGCCTGCCTGATGTTGGGGGGCAGGTTGTTCCAGAGTTTGGGGCCCATGACTGAAAAAGCCCGATCTCCTCTGAGCTTCAGTCTTGTTTTTGGAACAGCCAAAAGCAGCTGATCGGATGATCTCAGGGCCCGAGAGGGAACGTAAGGTTCCAGAAGCTCAGAGAGGTAAAGGGGTGCGGGGCCATTCAGGCATTTGAAGGTCAACAGAAGAATTTAAAAAACTATCCTCGTACGAACAGGGAGCCAGTGAAGGGAGGACAGAACTGGTGTAATATGTTCAGACCTATGAGTTCCGGTTAAAAGCCTAGCAGCAGCATTCTGGACGAGCCAAAGACATGAGATGGAGGCCTGGCTGATCCCAGCATACAGTGCATTGCAATAGTCCAATCGGGTCGTGACAAAGGCGTGGACTAGTTTCTCAAGGTCGGGTCTGGACAACACTGACTTGAGCTTAGCTACCTGTCTGAGTTGGAAGAAGCTTTTCTGCAGAACAGAGTTGATTTGTTTGTCAAACTTGAAGTCAGAGTCTAAAACCATCCCGAGATTTTTACCAGACTGCTTCAGATATGGCTGAAGAGAGTCCAGGTTGACAGGATCAGTGGTGGCAGTTAAGCTAGGGCTAAAAACAATGACTTCAGTCTTGTCATTGTTAAAACTTAAGAAATTTGAAGCCATCCAGGCCTTAATGTCGTCCAGACATTTTAACAGAGGTTGAATGGAGCAAACACTTGCTGGTTTCACAGGCAGGTAGATCTGGCAGTCATCAGTATAGCAATGGAATGAAAGACCATGTTTCCTCAGGATGGACCCGTGTGGGAGCAAATAAAGTGAGAACAGAAGGGGTCCAAGAATCAAACCCTGTGGGACCCCGCAAGAAAGAGGTAATGAGGCGGATACATTATTACCAACCTTGACACAGAAGCTCCTGCCACTCAGGTATGAGCGGAACCATTCTAATGCAGCTCCTGTGATCCCAACCCACTGTTCCAGCCGTGATATAAGGATACTGTGGTCAACAGTATCAAAAGTAGCAGTAAGGTCCAGGAGCACAAGTACCACAAATTGACCAGAATCGTTTGATATCATAATGTTGTTACAAACCCTTACTAATGCTGTTTCAGTGCTGTGGAGTTGCTTAAAACCAGATTGAAAAATTTCGAAGATTCTGTTCTCATTCAAAAACTTGTTTAATTGAATGAAAACTATTTTCTTCAGGATTTTGGACAGGAAGGGAAGTTTTGAGATTGGTCTGAAATTTGAGCAAGTCGAAGGGTCAAGTCCAGGTTTCTTAATTAATGGATGAACTACTGCATGTTTGAAAACATCGGGAACCACACTTGTCACAATACTACTATTTATAATAGTAAGAACAGAGGGTCCAATCATGGGTAGAACTTGTTTGAAAAACGATGCAGGAATGGGGTCAGCGGGGGAACCAGAGGGTTTCATCTGACCAACGACTTTGTTTAGAAATGAGAGTGAAATGGGTTCAAACTGTTTAAAGACAGCTGAGCAAGGGACAAAGACAGAGGGGTCAGTTGTGGACTGGGGGATGGATGACCTAATCAACTCTACCTTATCAGCAAAGTATCTAGTAAAGTTGTTGCAGATGTCAACGGAGGCCTCCATACTGGCAGACGGAGGCACGTTTAAAATGGAATTTACGGTATTAAAAAGAACACGGGGATTATGACTGTTTGAAGCAATGATTTGGGAGAAGTATTTGTTCTTTTCAGATCTGATAATCTTTCAAACACGTTTTTAACATAATAAAAGAAACCTGTAATTTGTCCTTTTTCCACTTACGTTCAGCTCTCCTGCATAGACGTTTGGCCGCTTGAGTGGTCACGTTCAACCAGGGGTGTGGTGCCTGCTTTGGTCGCCTGATTTTTAGCGGGGCCACGAGGTCTAAGATCTTAGAGCAGGTCGCATCATGCCTACTGAGCAGCTCCTGCGTACCAATACAGGCAGAGGTTTCAGGGACTGAAGCAGCATCAGTAATGAATACAGAGGAAAAAAGGGCAGCGGTTGAAGAGTTAAAGATCCAACAACTCTTGGCTGGAGCGGGGGATTTAGACTCATGAATAACAGAGGTTTGGAATTAAATGGGTTTGTGTTCTGAAACAATAGCATCCCCAATTTCCAGGTTAACCACAGATAAACCGTGAGACAGAACTAAATCAAGTGTATGGCCCTGTTGGTGAGTTGGACCAACAACATTTTGCACAAGGTTGAAAGATTGGATCAGATTTTGAAACTCCTGCACCAAAGGCTTGTCAGGACAGCAAACATGTACATTAAAGTCTCCCAGAATCAAGACCCTGTCATAATTGAGCAGTATTCCAGTCAGAAAGTCAGACAATTCACTTATGAAGTTTTTGTTGTATGAAGGTGGTCTGTAGATCAAGCAGCATAGTGTTGGGTTGGAGCAGCTCAAAATAAAGCAGTTCAAAACTCTGAAATGTCACAGCCTGTAGCTGTCTGCAGTTCCAGAGCTTTTTAAAAACTAATAATCCACCATTCCTACCAGAAGTCCTTGGAGCATTAAAAAAGGCACAATCCACCGGCAAAAGTTCAGAAAAAAACACTTAACTCACCAGGGACGAGCCAGTTCTCTGTAACAAACATGAAGTCCAGTCCATTGGAGCAAAAAAAGTTGTTTAAGATAAAAGATTTATTTGTCAGCGACCTCACATTCAGCAGAGCAATCTTTGTAGGACCAGTAGCTGAAGGAAAAGCTGTGCTCAGAGCACAGATCAGCTGTTTCAGATTTTTGGAGTTTGAACCGCGCCTCCAAGGACCAGAGATGCCGCAGCTATGCGCGCGCCCGCGACAAGAGCCAGATTCGAATACGGGGATCAGGCAGGATCAGCGAAGCACCTGGACAGGCGAATATCCAGCAGATGGTCGGCAGGAGATGATGCAGCAGACGGTCCGGAGTTGGTTAAGTTCCACTGGAGACGGCTGAAACCACCGCTGCCGTGCGCGCGCCCGCTGCGTGTACCAGGCCCGGGCACCTGGAGCGAGCTGGAGTTGAGTGGATCAGCGAAGCATCCGGATGGACAGTTTAACGTCTGATGGTCAGCAGCAGGTGACGAGGCAGCAGAGAGCTTGATGCTGGCTTTAATCCTCACGAGACGGCCGGCACGTCTCCCATGGCGCCTGGAGCGATGTTTTCTGGCGGGCAGAAACGCAGCGCGCTTCAGGTCAACCAGGACATCAACAAGCAAAGGGGGTGGGGGTCCAGAGCCCTGGTCAAAGTGGTCGAACAAGACGGTGTTTGCAGTAGATAACTGTATATTTAAAAGTTGTTGGCGATCATAAACAAGTAGTGAGTTGATGTCACCAAAGAAAAATGACAAAAACAGAAAAAAAACAATCAAACAGACAGAGGTAAACGGCAAGCCACCAGCACCGGCGCCATCTTCCCGGAAGTGATAATAATAATAATTAAAAACATGATCATATTTCATTGTGATTTCAGCCAAGAACTCAGAAAATTAATTTATGAAATCCTTGGATCTCGAGGGGCAGTGCGCACAGAGTCAAAGGCGAATGGCCGAGTTCAAAGACGCTCAGCTCAAAGCTGGCGCAGGAAAACGGGATGGGCATTTGTTTAGAGTCAAAGCTTGATTTGAATATTGTTAATAATCCACCATCGCGCCAATCTGATGGCCATGGGGTATTAAAATACAGACAGTCCGGGGGTAATAATTCCGTCAAGGCGCTGGACTCACCGGGAGACATCCAAGATTCCGTGACACAGAGAAAGTCCAAATCGTGCTCTTGAAAGTAGTCCCTGAGGATAAAAGTTTTGTTTGTAACGGATCTTGCGTTGACCACACACATCCTGATACAGTCCAAAGTGGACACAGCAGTGGTGGAGGGAGCGCGTGCCACCGGCCGCAGATTATGAACATCAGCACCTCCAGGTCGGGTCGTGCGCTGCGCCGGTAGACAACTCCTGTTGTTTACATGGTCAGGGTGCATGGGTAGCTAGCCAACAGCAGGGCCCCAGACGCACCACGGGTCCGGGAGGTGAGGATCAGATCCAGAACGAGTCCCATCATCTTTGGCAGAATAATCCAATCGGTGCCTCGTTTTCACCAAAACTCCAGCGCGCTTTTCCCGACGTCTGCGGTGTCTCCTCCGGGGAGATGGGCCAGGGTCTCGAAGCAGGAAGGCAGATATCCCGGACAGAACCGGAGGGACAGTCCCGACCGCTGTCGAGAATCTCTGCAGGCAATTCTGCAAAGCTACGGAGCTCCAAAAGTGCCCGACTATCATATTGTAGATATGCGTCGACACACTGCATAAATAATAAAAACAAAACCGAAGCAGAGAGGAATATACGGCAAGCAATGTACGGCAAGCCCTACACACCAGCGCCATCTTGAATTAACTTTTGTTTTTGGCTGCAGGAAGCTTGCTAGCCCGTCAAAAAAAAAAAAAAAATCCAGCAATGTATGAACCGTGGGGTTCAAGCCTATGAAAAAAGTAGCAGTTTATAGTCCAGCAATTACAGTATGCTCGCTTAAGAGGATGAGTAAATAAAAATTCAACTTCAAACGTAAATCACACTAAAAGGTGCCATTGTTTATGAAACAAAACCAAGCAAATGGGTGATAACGGTGTGGTCAAATCATAAAATGAACTGTTTGTGGGCTTCTTATTGATCTGAGTTCATTGCCTTACATCAAGAGTCATTCCTCAGTAAATGTTGTTGGCTGATAGAGTAACTCTCGGCTTATCTTCACAGCGCAACATATCCTCAATGCGGGAATTGTCAGTAGGCCAGAAGGTGATTTGCAAATACAGAAATTCCCGTTACTATCACAGCGAAGTGGTGGAGCTGACCTCAGCCACGTTCTATGAGGTGGTGTTTGATGACGGCTCATACAGCGACAACCTATTTCCTGAGGACATTGAGGTAATTACATTACTTCTACAGGTGTATGTAACAAACATTTTCTGCTCAGGTTCTGCTTGAACATGGTCAAAGAAAGCACACCTTGAATTTCTAAGGTTTCAGAGCCATCTAAGTAATCTAATTCTACAAGTTTTGACAACACATGACATACAACACTGTGTCATTATCTACATAACAAAAACTGAGATGAAAAGCAGAAACGGGATGAATAAAATGATTCCACCCTAAAATAGAATAACTTGTTAAACCACCTTCAGTTGCGATAACTCGTGTTAATCCACTTCTGTTTGACCTTCTCCTTTTTTTTAAGTTGTCTTGGAAACATTTCAGCCCTCAGTTCTTTAAAATGTTGCTTCAGTTAACTAACATTCACAGTATTTGTTTATTCACATCGCTCTTAAAGAGGTTTCTGGACATTTTGAAGTGAGGGTTCATAGATAGGTTCTGAACATTTATTATCTTACTTGTTGCAGATGGTTCCTTGAATGGTTTCAGCTTGGAGGAACAAACTTTTATTTTGATTAGTTTGAAAAAAAAAATTTTAAATCTCGGGATTTAAAGTTGTTTTTATTTTTACAGTAAAGTTTTATTGTAAACAAAGCTTAAAAATAATAAACTAATGACCCGACTGAGAATTATTGGATTTTGTACCTGGATGATTGAGCATGAACTTTGTTGCCTTGAGCCACTTTAGCTGTGGCTGCCTGCCTAGGAGGAGTCGACGAGGGACAGGACAGCCCCCAGAAACCATCTTAGCTCCAGCAAACTGGTTGGTCCACTTAAGGAGTTTACTGCTTGGTGGGGAAACAGTTTACTGAAATTCCTCTGACTGATGAAGCCCTCTGGATAGAGGGCGAAACGTCTCTATAAAAAAAGAAACCGTCCAGATGATCCGACTCAGAATTATTGGATTTGGTCCCTGGATGATTGAGCATGAACTTTGTTGTAAACTAAGGACAGTTCTAAGCTTAACAAAATAAAATATGTGCAAGAAAGCCATTGTCCTCATTTAAGGATGTAAAGTCCCAGAAGGTCAAAACAGCTACATCTACAATATTTCATAGACCTCTACGTCACTGTCAGTTTTGCATTACAGCGTTACTACATTAAAATATTGCAGGAGCACGTAGCGACAGCAGAAGCGCTCGCAGTTCTGGTGCAGCCAGGGGACTTCAACTCTGTCAAATGAACATTGCTTACATTTACATTGAATACATTGCAATCTAAAAAAGTTAAATCTGGTCCTCTGGACATTCAAAAACCCCAAAACAAAGCAAAACAACAAAAAAATGTAGAAACGTTTCGTCTCTCATCCGAGAGACTTCCTCAGTCTCGGATGAGAGACGAAACGTTTCTACATTTTTTTGTTGTTTTGCTTTGTTTTGGGTTTTTTTTTAATGTCCAGAGGACCAGATTTAACTTTTTTAGATTTTTCTACCTGGATTATTGAGCATGCATCAGAATACATTACAATATTTCCATAGAATCATTTAACCATATAACCCATTATTAACTTAGATGTTAAATCTGTTTTACACTCAAATACTGATTTCTTACTTTTCAACCTGTCACTAAAGTCATTCCTTTATTTCGACCATACATTATGACTCTTAAAATAATCAGAAAACGTTTTACCCGTCAACTTTTTGAGCACAGTGTGTTTTTCATGGTGTTTGTTATATGTAGATAATAAAATTTAGGGATGCACGATATTGGATTTTTGACTGATATACCAATGTGTTAAAACTTATTTGGCCAATAACCGATGCTGATACCGATATTTTATATACGTTCCTTTGTCAGAACATAGCCCTCTCTCTTGTTTAGGCTTATTTGCTACAAAAATTGTGCAACAGCTATAAGAGCTGGTGACATATTCAGTAACAACCATATGATATGCAGAGCACTTTAACTTCTATTAAATGAAAAGTGTTAAATGTTATTTATTAGCATTAGTCAGCTGCGATGCTGTCTCACTTGTGGAGACTTGTTCCAGGTTCCTAGCTGCAGTGTGAGATCCTCTGCACTCCTGTGCATGAAGGACAGACTTTTTAAGATCAAAGTTTGTCTATCCATTGTTCCATAAGATTAATCATGCTAACGGGGCTAACACGACATCCAAATGTCTGTGGCAAAACTCACCCAACAAGTTGTGCTATCAGCTATTAGCTTCTCAACGATGTTGGAAATGACGGCTTGTAACTCGGGTAACGTTACATCGGAAAAATATCTTCGACTGGGGACGATGTAGCGAGGCTCAATGTAGTCCATAAATCTTTGGAATCCGACATTCTCACCAACGAAAAATAAAACTTCCACACGCCAACATTTTGAATTTTCCTCTCCTCCATGCGATCAGGCAGGCGCACGTGACGTCATCGCGTTGTGCTGCCGCTGCAGGTACAAACAGCGCCTTTTATATCGGCGAGTTATTTTAATGGACTGTCCGATGTTGAAATTTAATGCTAATATCGGCCGATACCATGCCGATAATATCGTGCATCCCTAATAAAATTACCACAGTAAAATTCACAGCAAATTTGCCGAGGTTTTGACGGCAAAAATTACTCAAAAATTGGCATAAAGGTTTTGAAATTTTGAGTCTGAAAGAGTAGTTTCAAAATAGAAACTGCGTAGGAATCCTGCAACACAAAGTGTGAGTCTGCAGTTTGCTTGATGTCTGTGCAGAACCGTGACTGTGTCCGGCTTGGCCCGCCCTCTGAAGGTGAGGCGGTTCAGGTGCGATGGACAGACGGGCTGATATACGGAGCCAAGTTTATAAGATCCCACTCCATCCCTATGTACCTGGTAAACCCACCCCACGTTTCTCTGTTTATTGTTCCATTTGTTGGGTTCAGTGCTAAGTTTAGTTGTTACTGCCTGTGTGCATCCAGGTGGAGTTTGAAGATGAATCACAAATCACAGTCAAGAGAGAAGAAATCTACACTCTTGATGAAGATTTGCCCAAACGAGTCAAGTCTCGTATGGTGAGCCACAACTTATTTGTTGCGTTTCTGTCATTTGTGTACACAACAACAGTTTTATCTGAAACTGAAGTTTTTTAAATCCATGTGTCAGAGTGAAAGTTGTTGGAAACGCTCAGCATTAATGTGAAACCACGGCCGGCTGCAGTCAGTAGTTTTTCTGCGCTTGCACGAGTAGGTGAACGGCAGTAACAATGGCATGTAGCAGAGTGCTGTTTGTCCTGCTCACCCCTTTCACCATGTAGGAGCGACCCAGCCTCATCCTTGGTCTAAACAAATCTTTTTGAATGCAACTGTGTTCATGTCAAAACTGAGCGCTCTGCGAACATGCACATGCCATTGAAATACAAAAGTCACAGCACCAGCTATTGGCTTGACATGTTAATGAGCACAGCATTACAGTGTGTTACATTGTGTTTTGTTTTTTCAAACTAAACATAAAAAAATGCTAACGTTTCCAGAGATCGTTCATGTGTAAACAGGGTAGAGGTTCACCAACAGCCAAGAGTGCCTTTAGATAAGAAGCCAGATGTTTGTGTCAGTTCTGTTGCACCTGGATCTGTTATTTCCTTCACTCAGTGTGGTTTTGTGTTGTCTCCAGTCAGTGGCGTCAGACATGCGCTTCGAGCTCGCACAGAACAACATCAAACAGAACTCCAAACGGCAACGAGTCATCAACTCTCGATACAGAGGGGACTACATCGAGCCCGTCATCTACAGGGCCATCATGGAGTGATTTTTATTCTGCACAAGCTCTGTAGCTCTAGCTTTTTGGTTTCTAATGAGTGCTAATAGGAATGACCCCCCACCCCCGTTCTTCCAAAGGCTTCATATTCAGGAAAAATGTCAGGGACTTGCCGGTAAATGTTTTGTCTGTGCTTTAAAAGAAAGTTAGATTTCTATTTTTGATCACACTGTAAACTGATTTTTTTTTCGTCTTTGTTTTTCATTTATGTTCTCAATGTTCTCAGAAAAAAGCCAACAAATTGAAAAAAGTTAATAAACTCTGTAACTTTACCACCATAACTAGACATAATGTGCAGCTTTTCTTGACATGCTATTTCTACAAACTATTAAACTTGTTTCTATTTAATCAAAATAATTATTTTATTGTGAAGGAAACTAAGAAAACCCTTTTTATCAAAAAAGAGATTTCTTGATCAATAGTGTTGGGTGATTGGACAGTTATGTCAACCATTGTCAGTACATTTATTTTGAAGAACAATAGCCAAATTTACTAGAAAACTTCCAACTAGCCAAATAAAACGTCCCACAATTTTTAACAAGCAGTCAAAAGGAAGCCACAGAGTTTTTCCACACAGGTCAACAAGTGAATTTATCATCTGTTCAACACAGACTGCTAAACAAATTAAACCACTGTACTTGTTTGATTTATACACTGCCTGGACAAAAAAAAATGTCTCCACCTGGATTTAACTAAGCAAATATGTACGAGCCTCCTAATGGATAATTACTGCATGGGTGATTATCTTTCAGCTGCCAACATGTTATTTAACCACATCTGGTGCAATGAGTTGCATCTCGTTTCTTAAACCACCATGTTGTAAGACAAATCGTGTGGTCGTGGAAAAGATGTCAGTCTGTTTGAAGAGGGTCAAATCATTGTCATCAAGCAGAGAAAACATCTAAGGAGATTGAAGAAACTACTAAAACTGGGTTAAGAACTGTCCAACACATTATTACATTATTAAAAACTGGAAGTATAGTGAGGACCCATCGTCTTCCAGAAAGAAATGTGGCCGGAAAAAAATCCTGAATGATCGTGATTGGTGATCACTTAAACGTTTGGTGAAATCAAACAGAAGAAAAACAACAGTAGCACTCAGGGCTGTGTTTTATAGTGAAAGTAAGAAGATTTCCACACATACAATGTGAAGGAACTCAAGGAACCGGGACTGAACATCTGTGTAGCCTTAAGAAAACCACTAACCAGTGAGGCTAACTGGAAAAAAAGACTTCAGTTTGCTAGGGAGCACAAAGATTGGACTCTGGAGCAATGGAAGACGGTCATGTGATCTGATGAGTCCAGATTGACCCTGTTCCCGAGTGATGGGTGCATCAGAGTAAGAAGAGAGGCAGGTGAAGTGATGCACCCATCATGACTAGTGTCTGATCATCAATGAAAGATCTTTGTGAAAAATAATTGCACCACTGGATGGAAATAGATCTTGTGACATCGTAGAAGTTTATTGAAACTGACACAGTGAATGCATGATGTAATCAAAGATAAAAGAGGTTAAACGAAATAGTGCAACCTTTTTTTTTTCATTCAACCTTTATTTAGACAGGTTAATCCCAATGAGCCTCAGGGACTCGTTTACAAGAGAGATGATTTTAACAAAGACTGATGACAACAGTGGACAACGATGACAACAATAGACAATCATAAATGAGGCATACAAAAATTACTTTTTTTTTTTTCTTTTTTTTTTACTAATCAAAATAACCAAAAGAACAGTGAAATTTTGGTGGCGACTTTGTTTTGGCCAGGCAGTGTATATTTATCAGTGAAATGGTGCAGCAGTGTCTTCGTGCTCAATGCAGAGATTTTTTTTAATACTTTTTTTGAAGAGGCTCATTGCAGACACTTAGGTACACAAAATGCTATAGTTTGTCATTTCCTGCTGCACTGGGTTAATAAAGCATCGGTCGGTTCAGTTTCCTGAACTGCAAGTCTGTGGTGACACTTCATGCTCTCTTGCTCCACATCTTGTGGAAAAGAAGCTACTTGTAGGCACTAACTTGGAAAAACGTGACAATAATGATAGAAGTTAATCACATTTTTTTGTGACAAAGCTGCCTTCCTGGAGCTCCTAACATCTGCTGGTTGCACAGACTGAGCAACTCCTTGTTTTAAAACTAAAATAATCCTAATCCTAATCTGTGCATTTATACAAACTGTGGCCTCCATCTGTCGACTTCTGTAAGTGTACAAAGAACCAGCCGTCTGTTGTTGGACTTGTGGAACAAGTGGAAACATTTTTGCCTATTTTTTAAAACTAGATCAGTTAATTGATCACTTAAAAAAAAAAAAAAGTCATTTGTCCATGTCTGTATCTTCTTCTTTCGGCTGCTCCCTGCGTCAGGGGTCGCCACAGTGAACTAAGTCGCACGAAGACGTGGCAGTTATTTTTACGCCGGATGTTCTTCCTGACGCAACCAGGAGCTACCACAGCCTCTGTGTGGAGCAGAGAGCTGCTGTCTAGGACACCCGGAGGAGCAGATGGTGGGGGTTAAGGGCCTTGCTCAAGGGCCCAGAGTGGGACGAATGAGGGTGGGGGCAGGTGTGGGTGCTTCACCTACCCCACCCACATATTTTTGATTGTGACGGTACCGGGGCTTGAACCAGAGATCTTCCGATCACAGGCCCACCTTCTCTAACCTCTGCGTCACCACTCCCCCGTTGTCCATGTCTGTATATACTTAATTATTAAGAAGGAAAATAAAGCTTGAAAAGCAGCTGCTATAACAGCGCTCTGTAGCCCATCACTTAGATTTTATTTTAAGTGAGAAAGATCTGTATATTATTATGACTTCAAGTTTTTTGTTAGCTATATATTGGTATATTTAGCTAAATAAAAAATAAATATATTGGCCATAAAATTAGTGTTGTTTGTCATTGGCTGCCCTAATTTCTAAAAATTGGCATCAACTATTGCCCAACCCTATTGACCATTTTTCATTTTTTACTCAGGACGGTTAAAAGCCTTTGAGCAAGCTGATGGTTTTCAATTAACTAAACATTTCATGGAATAAACTCATTGTTTCAAAATAACTCAAAACATTGCACCAGTGGTAACCCTGGTCCTTGAGGAACACCATCCTGCATGTTTTAGTTGTTTTCCTGCTTTGGCACAGCTGATTTGAATGAACTGGGGACAATGGGCTTGTGCAGACCTTTTTTTCTTCTTTCTGCTGCTCCCTCCTTCAGGGGTCACCACAGCAAACTAAAGTCACATGAAGACCTGGCAATTGATTTTACATCGGATGCCATTCCTGATGCAACCACAGAACCTGAGTGAAGTTGCCCCACCACCACCTTCAAATCTAACAAAACTGGTGTCAAACGTTTGTGCTGGTTTGTGCCGCTATCATTTTACAGATATTAATAACAATGGTCCCAGGGGTCATCAAAGGTCAACAAAAATCTGTTTGTGTTGAAACTGAATTTCGTTTAAAATGCTTGGATTAATTTTAACATGGATGAAATTCATTTTGAACTAGGTCTCATTTAGGATGAACTGGTACACCTCCAACAAACAAACCCAATGACCTGTATTTTGGTTTCTGGTCACCAGGGGGTGCTATAAACACTGGTGTACTTTTTGACCTCTGGAAAAAATTATTAATATCTTTAAAATGATAGCTGCTCCAATTAACATTTTTGATGCACAAACCAGCACAAACATTTGATACCAGTCTTGATAGATTTGAGGAAGGTGTTCTTGGGGGGGGGGGGGGGGCAGGTAACCACAGACCACTGAGCTACCGCAGCCTGAGTGGAGCAGAGACCTGCCATCTAGGATGCCTGGGGGAGCAGATGGTGGGTGTTAAAAGCCTTGCTCAAGGGTCCAGAGTGGGGCAAATGGTGTAGGCAGGTGTGGGTGTTTCACATTTCCAACCCACTGTTTAACGTCTGTATGTGGAATTGAACCGGCGACCAATCACGGGCTCACCTTCTCTAACCTCTGCGCCACCACTTCCCAAAGTTTCTGCAAAACATGAAGTAATTAAATCACTGAATCACGTGCTGGAGCAGGAGACAACTAAAACATGCAGGATGGTGTTCCTCAAGGACCAGGGTTGGGAACTGCTGCATTACGTGACACGCTTCGGTTATTTTGTAGATTTTAAACAGGTTTTCTTACTGTAGTGGATCATTTGGTTTAGAGGTATGTTTGTGTAGTCCACCTTCATCTTGTTGTGGACAGAATTCAGTCCAGACATGTTTGAGAGGCCTTTAGGCCTTACGTTTCAAAGGGCCAAGCTCATTTGTTTGTTTGTTTTAACCTTTGTAAATAATGCTAATTTATTCGTCACTGCGTCAAATTTAAAAGGAAAGCAATTTTTATCACATACTTTTCACAGTTTTAAGGAAACCTTAGATATATTTATTAAAACGGATTAGTTTTGCAGATGCGACTTCTGAGGGTTTTATTTTTTATTTTTGGCAGAAGAAAAACTGTAAAGTTTGTAACAAACGCACTTATTGCTTTATCCCATCGTAGGATTTTTGGGATTAGTTATTAAACTTGTCTTCTATAAGTTCTCATGTGTGTGTTTTGAATAGAAGCTAGATGTAGAAAACATTTTAACAAAACGGTTTGATAAATGAAGGTTCAGAAAGTACAGTAACTATTTTTCTCGTTAGTTTGTTGTGCTTGTTTTATAGTAGACCCATGTAAAGGATTATAAATTGTAGCTGGTCCTTTTGTAGGACAAGAGTATCTGGGCACCTTTTTTATTTTATTTTTTATTTTCTTGGATTTGTCTCCAAGGCTTCTTTAAATCTGTGCATTCTTTGTAAACAACTATTTGAGTAAAGTTTGAAGTAAAAAAAAAAAAAAAAAAAAGCTTTGCACCATTTATTTATTGCAAACAACCGATCAAATCAAAGGGTCGCAGAGTGTTCCTGCTTCTTTAAGAATTGCTTCCTGTTTTGTTGCTTATCACCAAAAAAAGGCAGATAAAAATGTTTTCCATGTCTGGTAACAAAATATTTCTTAAATCATTGAACAGATTTTCATGAAAGATTCAGGAAATATTCATTGGATAGGCATTGACAGGCTATAGCAAATGATAAGGAGTTCTTATAATAAATTATAATAACATTGAACTGTATCTTACAATAAACCAATACCAGTTAATTACTTGATTTATTGACTTCTATTAGATCTCAACAGTTG